GAGTAACCAGTTCTGTGCCATGTTCAAATGCCACGCCTACTCTGGCTCAGGGATAAAGAGTGTACACGAAGGGCAGTATAGATGAGACATCTAGCACTTGTGCAGTCCACTTGAGTAACCTTGTGCTCCTCCGGATGTTTCACAATCCCCCCCCCACCTCAGAACGAAGTTTCTAATGGTACAGACCCACGTCCTCAGTTGGTAGTGTCATCAGGGTCTGAGGGTACAGTCTTTGTTCGCCTTATCGAGTTGTCGAGCGGGGGAGAGGGACACGGGGATATGGTGCACACGAAACAGGAGAACTTTCGAAAATCTGCAGTCTCTGTCAGAAGGGAAATACGACCCCCTCCCTCTCCCAGCGACCAAATACGACCCCCCTGTTGAGGAATCCCCAACAACGATGGGCCCTAATGGTAAGTGCCATAAGATAACACTGAATCCAGAGGAGACCTTGACTTGAATGCGAACACTTCCTAGTTGTATATAACATCTCCTGGAGAAGTTTCAGTCAAAAAGCCTCACTAAGCTTTCTAGCAAATTCTCAAGCCCGGACGTGAGGACCGAGGCGACTATAATTATGTTCGTATTAACCATACTTGAAAGGCAAAATTATTCTGTTCATTTCCTACTTTTCAGAGAATTCATTTGAATAATATTAAGCTTATAGTTGAATCCCTTCAGCACTTGCAGAAACACAAGAAGAAATGTGCCCAAGTTGTTACATGGAATAGCAATGCACGGCTTCCAGGGACTCTAAAAATAAGGGAAGGAACCTACACTTTTTGCGATCGCTCGCAAATAGAAATTTCTTTAGCCAGCCCGACCCGTTCGGGGTCAAATAGTTCCTAGAGCCTAGTCTGGGAGCACAAGATTCCAGATATGTGGGCATCCAGTTGCCATCTTGAATAGAAGTCTAATGTGTGGCGCATCCTTCAAGAAAATTTGAAACGGATTCATCAGCGCCTAATAGCCTCATATCCTTCGTTTCATCTAACAACGAAGTTAAGTCAACTGAACCAATAAATAAACAAATAAAACGACCAATTTGAAGGATAGTGCAGCCATAACAGTTTTCCACCTTTTCTCCTTGCGCGGATGACTATTCACTACGGATCGTTTGTTTTCATTTTCAAGAGTCCTAATTGACCGGTTTGCCTTCGAAAAACGTCATTTAACAATCACTCTTCTGAAGGATCTGATAAGTGCCTTCGCGGTAGCGTTAAGCGTTTAGGCGACGTAGAACATGTTCCTTATGAAGGCATTCAATGGATCAATTATCAAAAAAGTAGGACAGATTGGGTGATAAAAATAGTTTGTCCCAATGATTGATAGGCCAGCGACCGAAAAGCGTCCAATACCCGGAACACACACACGCAGTTTATGATACATTATGGATTTATGGGGTGGAAATGATGAAGTGGCAAAATGGAATTGGGCCAGCAGGTGGAGCCAGTCGGGTGTTTAAGTACTTGGTCGGCTCTGTTTCCTAGCTGAACGCACCTGGGCTCCCATTGCTTCGCCGCGGCAGCGGAATTGGGAGTTCACCAACAAGGGTGTGTCTGGGTAGAGAGAATATTGTTACTATACTTAAATCGGTCTCGCGTAAATATTGTACCAGACTTCCGCAAATAGCATCGGCCAGAAAGATCACTCGAACGTACTGGAACCCATGAATCACGCAATATCCCCAAAAAATTGCGTCTATGGTGTGACCAGGATGGATGCTGAAGACTGGGCTTTTAGCCGTTTGCAGAACAGAAGGCGGTTCAGTGGAAAATTTATTACTTATGTGAAGAGAGAGCGTAAATCGGCGTGGGACGAGTGTCTCCTACGCCACCAAAAAACCTTGAATGTGATCCAAACAAATCCTACAGTTTTGCCCATCCTCCCACGAGAGTCGGAGGGGGGCTTCCACGTTGGACATAAGACATGATAACGGTGAGGGAGGGTTCGTCGTTCGACGGACAAGGTGATCGCATTTTTGATGGAGCTTATAGCCTCGGCTTTGGAGTAGTTAGGTAGCAGAACGGGAACGTGAAAGTATTTCTTCGTGAGTACTTGTCCCCGATCAGCCCTTTTGCATGATTCACCCGGCAGACACTGTCTCTTCCTTGAAGCCATCAGGTTCACGCAAATGATTGGCCTGACCTCTCCTACGGGCCAAGCATGGTATTTGATGCCACGTACTTCTCTTCGCATTCCCAGCTACTTGTATGAGGCAGTAAGTTGCAGCTGTGTTTCTGCGGCGTGTCAAGCTGCAGTTTGGTGCAGGTGCCACCATGTTTTGAGCTGGCGCCTGGGGTGTGTGGCGATTCTATCGTCGATGATAAGTAGGTCGCCGCGCTGGTGGGCGCCGCGTACGAGTCCTGCTGCGTCGTGCTCGTTGAAATTGTTAAAATGATCATCAAGCCATATGTTTATGTTAATCCTGTACTGCTTGTCCCATTTTCCTATGATGATCAATGATTGTTTTTTCCGCATTCAAAAGTAAAAGGGTGTAAGACTGGTCCCACGTTATTTGTTCAAAATTACTGATCCAATTTTGGGCTTTTCGGAACTTGTGAATACGCGGTCTTCGAGACTCATTTGTATGTCGGTAATGCAACTCCGGGATTGTCGCACCGCGCCGCCGCGCGAGACGCCGCGACGCGATGTGCGCGACGTGACCTGACTTGCCGACGATAGAATCGCCCGGGTCCCGCTCCCGCCATCCTTAAACACCGGCCGCCTGGGTGACGCGCAGGTCTGCAAGCGAAAGAGGAAAAGCATCTCTTTCAAAGGCTTCTGGCACGATATATTTTTGATGGCTACGGTCCTTGAATGGTGGCGAAGGCGCTACATAGTGAAAAAACCTTATAAAAATGAAGTGAATTGGTTGAAAACCCGCAAAGAACAGCCCTCGTTGTTCATGACTCAGAAAAGCAATTTCGGAAGTGTTTCATCGTGCCAATAACCGCTACTGTAGACACGGGTGGCACGTATGTAACTTCATATCGTCATGAAGCCCAGCCTCTTCCACACTATTCCACTTTCGCTTCAGTATTACATTGCAAATGAAGTGATACGAGCATCGGGCACGGTCGTCCATTTGTAGAAGGCGGGTGCGGTGGGCGTCCGGCTCGGGATGTTGCAGCTTGGTAGGACCTTATAAAGAGTACCTTCTTTTGAAAAGGCGCTAGCGCAGTACCTGCTCAGGAGCGCGAGTTCGTCCTCCAGCGGTTCATTGCCTACAAGCTTTAGGGACTTATCGGGAGAAATGGGCCATCGAATGTGTCCACGTTTGGCCACTACAATGACGTCCGGAGACCAGCCCCTTTCCAGGACATTTTTTCAAACGAGGCTTCAGTATCAGTATTCTCACTTTCGCTTGACGAACGGCCAAAGGTAATGGAGGACGCCTGTAGGAGAACGGCAGAATTGATCCGAGTGTTGTATTGAAAGGAGAAGTGTCGTGACGCCTCCTGTGGATGAGAATCGTTTGGCTATATCGTATCATATCAATCCTTTGATATAATCCCTCGTCATCCGGGCAGTTGATTAGGGCGGTCGTCAACGGGCCGCAGCGCGTGCCAGGAACTATTTGCTTTTTCCAGGCTAATTTAGTCATTTTTTCCAACTTTTCACTGTTTTGGCTACTTTTTCCCAGATTAGCAGCTCCTTATCTTCACAAGGTGGAAAAAATGACTAAATTAGCCTGGAAAAAGCAAATAGTTCCTGACACGGCCTGTTGAACGACCGCCCTAATAACGCCTCGGATAACGAGAATACGTCGAACATTTGACTGTGGTATTGGGGACGATAGTGCGACAGGCTGAGGAATGGCTCTCACTTCTTATTTCTCTTGTTCCTTACATGGGCCTTCTTTCAAAACAAAATATACTGATCTCCAACAAAGAAGGTTTTCAAGAAGAAGAGTTTGCCGCAAAGGCACGAAAGTGACGACCCCCGCCTGGATAAATGCAGTAATACTTGAAGCACTGAGAAGTACCAGCCTTGGAGAGAGTCCGGATCGTGTACTCTTTATTTGCCACAGGTTAGCAGGAAAACAAAAGAACTCTGTCTGAGAACACAAGTAAACCTTCATCTAGCTTCCAGATAGGGGATCATTGATCGAAAATAATCCAGCATCAATTTTTCTCAGCCGACAGCTCGTCGGGAAAAACGAAATAAGCGGAACGGCCAGGTGACGTATTTAGTCACGATCCGACCTGTACTTGATGTCGACCAGTCTTTTTGAAGTGGGCGTGACAGATGAAATTAGCAGCGATGAGTTCAGCAGCAGCAGTTTCTCGTCAGTTTGCTGTGATGATCACAGCACGACAGGCCGCCCTTTCGTCTATTGGGCTTTCTCTGATATGCGTCGTTGTGACCGTACTCTACATGCCGCTGTTCATTTCTAAAGTACAGCGTGTGCAGGACCATCTGTCGAAAAATATGGAGGATTTCAATTTAATGGAGGTGAGGAATGTCAAGTTCTTGAGGTAAATTATTGCGCAGCTTAAAACTGTGGTAGGTTTGAACTGCAGCACTTATGGAGGAGCTCAGAATACCTTACTATTCGGGATAGATTTGCAGTCAGCTGAGCGCACATTTTCAGAAAGAGATCTGGAGAAATCTCCATGAAGCCAAAAGGGGGACTGCCCATTCGAACCATCTCTAAACGTCAAGTGGAAATATGTGGTAAGTGAAAGATGTAGTTTCAGGGATCAGACACCCCAATTCCTGTTTGAAAACACCCAAATTCAAAATCCGAGCTTCAGGCTAAAGACAGCGGATAATTTAGAAAGTGTTTGCAGAGTGCGAAGCGACAAATCCCTGCCCACCAGGTGAAAAAGGACGTCCTGGTTTCGACGGAATGGATGGCACACCCGGTGAGCCAGGTCTGCCTGGAGAACCAGGCCTGCCTGGAATCGTCCCGCCTGTTGAGAAGAGTACGAGCGGCTGCCGCTCATGCCCACCGGGACCGAAGGGACCACCAGGTTAGCGTTTCCGTTTCGGAAAGAAAACCTGTCAGTCAAATCAACTTCATTCAGGCTACCCCGGCCAGCCTGGCCCACAAGGACTACCTGGTCTGGAAGGAGCACCAGGAATGGATGGGAGACCTGGTGGCGAAGGTCCTCGTGGTCCGCATGGACCAATGGGTCCGATGGGTGGACCCGGCAAAGATGGCGAAACTGGCCCTCCAGGACAACAAGGCATACGTGGAGAGAAGGGACCTACCGGACCTCCCGGCGAAAACGGTATGGTTGGTCCTCCAGGTATTACCGGACATCCTGGACCACCAGGGGAGCCTGGAGCTATGGGTAAGCCTGGAGAGCAGGGACCAGACGGAGAGCACGGTAAGCGACGCAAGACCCAACTAGTGATATTGATTTAGCGAAGCAGCTTTTTTTCAGGAATGCCCGGATACTTCGGAGCAGTCGGGAAGCCTGGTGAACCGGGCGCGCCTGGAGAAGATGCTAGCTACTGTCATTGTCCAGCTCGGCGCAAAGCTGGCGGTCTACCGCGATTCATATGAAAATAATTTTTGTGTCCATAAGAGAAAAATCCACGGCAAAGTAAAGTTCGTACTTCACTGGCACTGTTCTGTTTGTGATCATAAAAGCATGAGCTGGTTTTTGGAAAGATCACTTCGGGGTGCGCCGTGTACCTCCACTTATTTTGGGGCCAATGGCACGATCAGATGTCACTGAAGTTGGAATACTGGTTTCTCTGGAAAATACTTTATTCGGAGCTCTAGCCCCACAGCACTTCTAGGAACTTCATAGGATCCCTTTGACGTGCATGGTACGTCTGCTACACAGCGCGTACCATGCACGTCAAACGCTGGGCTTGTCAGAAGGACTGAGGTTGGCGCGCCGCCAGCCAGTTTTCTACCAATTGTGGTCACTTACCAGCTTCCACTATTAGTGATAGACTGGCTGCTTCGCCACAACGTCTAGCTCCCTGACCCCCAATCGTCCGCCACGCACTTGTATTTGTATCCACACGGGGTGCCCGAAAATCGCTCGATCAGGGCCACCGCTTCTGCGTCCAATATTAGTCGGCGTGCATTTTTTTTAAATCACAGAGAGAAACGAAGAAACGAAAGACGGCGCCCAATGAGGAAGCAGGAGGTGCACTGTACTGTAGAACCATTTGAGTCGGTAGGCCGGCTCGATGGTCGTTAGGGTACGGCAATTATAAAGTGATCATGTAACGTAGCGCTGAGGACCTTCTCGCACTTCCCTATTCTCGCTGCTGATGAGACACTTCTCTGACCGATCTTTATCTCTCTCACTTCCTCTCTCTCTCCTCTCTCCTCTCTCTCTTTCTCTCTCTTGTCTGCATTACCAAGTGACTTTAGCTGACAGATAAACTCAAGTAGTTCCAGCTCTAAGAAGAGGGAGCTAGTACATGCAGTCATTATCGCTGCAAACGAGAGAACGAGTGAAGGGGCGTGGACTGCAGACCCGCCAGGGCAGCCTTTCGCACTAATTCTTGCAGGGTCAGGACCGCGGGGCACTGATGTCGTTCAAAAGGCTGCCGTTCCTGTCGGCACCTCCTCACAGTGCCCTGTTTCCAATGACAATGCAGTGTGAACACAACTTACACATATCATAAAAAGCAGCAATCCGCCAGCCACCGTAAACCTGCGCACCAATCCATGAAAATCACTTCGTATTTTGTTTCACTATATTTTCACTTTTTCTCTGCTACAGAAGTCCATACGAGGAGGATTGCCCAACGAGACCACCCGTGGGTTATTCTTCTACTCGGGATCGACTTATTAGTGCGGAAAAGCACACACGCAGAAGGGAATTCCGCGACCCCTGAGCGAAGCTGCGTAGCGCACTATCCAAGAAAGGTACTCGTCATGGGGCGTACCTAGCAAGCCCACACGTCCGCACCCACCCTCCCAAAAATGGACGACCGTTCCTGATGCTTGTATTGCTTCATTCGCAATGTAAAGTATGAAGCGAAGGGAATGACATGAAGTGGCCGCGGTGCTTCATGGACATATGAGTACATATGTGCAGCCGTACTACGTTAGCGGATTACTGGGCCAAGACGCCAATGGGGATACGCGACCCAGAAATTCTGTTCAACTTCATATAAGACCGAGGAATTTCTTCGTTTTTGATCGTTTCACTTCGTTTTTTCGCCATTTTCCCACTACATAGCGCCCTGCTAGCACTGAGGTGCATGGCAAAAAGATGTTCTTCGTGGCCACTGGTCGATCGTGAAGACTACAGGAGGAGCGTCCGTGTTCGGCGGTAAAATATTTTTCGTTCTATCCCCCCCCCCCCCCACACGAGGCGGAGGTGGTGTAGTGACAAGTGGCGCGCGTACCAATCGCGCGGTCCTGGGTTCAAATTCCGGGCTCTCGCCAGGCCAACCAAGCCTTCTTCCTCCGGGACAGGTAAATTGGTACCATTAAATTCGTCTGGGAGGATAAGAACACTGACTTGTTTATTGGCTAGCCCCGGTGTGTCGTTGTGTCGTTGTATAGGCCACATCGCATTCAATAAGCCACTACGATTCTGAATGGAAGTAGAATGCGTGCCGCATCCCACAAAGGGATTGATCAACGGCGAAGACTTTATCCTTTTCATCCTTTTATTCCCCACAAATTTTTCGCTGTTTCTTTTTGTCTTCCAACCAAAATTGTTGGCGACCTTAATTCGGCTAGCCTTCTAGCGTGTAGCCTTCTCCAGTGTCCGGGAATTTGGAGGGATTAGAGAAACACTCCTTCCAACTAACATTTGAGGGGAAAAGTTGTTCTCAGAACCTTTGTCAGAACTAAGCCATTCAGGCACACATTAGCGAAGCACTTGTTTTTAGTCTTCGTTCTCTTATGATTGAGTTGAAATCAGATAATGGATAAAGGATGATGTGTCTGCCGTTGATCACCCCCTTTTTAGGGTTGCGGTCCGCACTCTCTTTCATTAAAGAACGTGAGAGGCTTATTAAGCCTATGCAGTCCAGTTGGGCCACCCAATGTACAACTCAGTGTTTTTACACTCCTAGCCGAATGCGGTACCAGTTTGCCGTCCCACGAGGGTAGAAAGCTCGACCTGCCTGGACTGGAGCTGATCCGTGGTTTGACTGCAGGACCGAGCGCGTGATAAGCGTGCCTTTTGTCACTACATCACCTCCTCCTTGACTCGATATATAGGTCAGAACTGAAGTTGCGGTCCGTGTCAACCCGAACCTCCATTCACCCTCAATTTCCTCACATTTTACTTCTGACTAGTAGCTCATGGTTCCATATCTCATGGTTAAAGGTACGGTCTGCGACCAGGTATAGAACTTAAAATTATGGCGTCGGGAGTATAGTCTGGTCCACCACAAAGAGCCTTATAGCGGTTTCGCGACAAAAAATTGGAAGGGA